AAAAAAAAAAACAGATGCTTAATGTCCAAATTTCTTAATCGTTTTTTTGATTCACTTTTCTCCTCTTCTTTTTCTTTCTCGCCATGAAATTTCAGATGTACAAAAACTGTCGCGACTTGTTGCATTACAGTTGTTGAGCGTTATTGTTCCTGTCACTGGTGTTGCTGCTGTTGTTACTGCTGCATCTTGTCGATGATAATTTCAAAGAATTTATTTTTAAGTAGAAATTTGGGAGAAGAGGAGGAAGAAGGAGGAAAAGGGAGAGAGGGGTAACGGAAAAAACCCATAATAGTAGCTACAAAAAATTAGCTGAGAAATTATTTGGACAATAATCTACTTCCTTCTGCTGTTTGATCCGGTGATCATTCAATGTTGTTAATCTTCATTCAATGTTGCCTTGAAACCGAGACTGAAGAAGTAAGTAGTTATCGTCACCGGTAAATAAATCTTGAGATCCTTTACTGCCACGCATCTAAAAGATAAAATAGAAAATTGCTGAAGGGCAAACAACTGAAAAAACCAAAAACATTTTTTTTTGGTATTAATGCAACTATCAATTACTTTTTTCTATTTTGATCTAGTTCACAAAAAAATTTATCTACCTACCAGCAGAAAATTTTACTAAGGAAATTTGATCAAATAATTTCCTAACAAGGTAGAAATTTGGTGGAATAATGGCAGGCAAAAATAAAACCGGCTAATGTTTTATAAGTTCTTAAAAAGCTAACTGTAATCAAGTAATCGAAAGATGATGATACCTGTTTAATAAATCTATCAACGGCTTCACGATGCGCGCTTTCAATGCGAATGATTCCTAGCAAAACTTCTTGTATCATTGACAAAAATTGCTCTTTTGCTACGGCCGGGTCACATGCACCTTTTAACTGCAAATTAGCATTGTAAAATATATAGCAAATCAACTACTAATGTATGAAACTTCAAAAATTTAATAAATTAGAAAGACTCTCACTGATAAACGGTGGAAGAAAATCCTGAGTTAACAAATACTATTAATTTTACCTGTTCTAAAACAATGTCCGGCAAAGAAGGATGCTCTGATGGAACCTCAATATCTTCAAGGATATTCTTCCATATTTTTAGCGTTTCAGCATGCTCATATAACGTCAGATGTAAAGTTTCCAATTCTCGTTCAGTATCAATGTCATATAAACTAAAGTCATCTAGTGAATCTAACAAGCATGATGAACCGGTATCACTGCTTTGATCGTTATCGCTTCGTTCTTCACGTTCTTTCTTCACTCGACCTTGAGTTTGTAGTTGCAACTGAACAAGCCTAAAAGTTGTTATTTGAGTCAGTCAGTCGTGACTAATCATCAAGTTACTGGTATGAACAGTGATTTGACACTGTCACTGGAGCCTAACACAGTCTCTATAATACCTACCACTCATTCATCTCATTGCTATTTTTAGCTTGTAATAACAGCTCATAGTTGGATGTTGCAATACGAAAAACATTTTTAACATTTCGAACTGGTTCAATGCGCGTTATTTCGTGAAGATCAATTTCGCCTTTCCTTTTTTCGTCATCTAAAATATGTACTTCAGATATTTCATTCTTGCTTTCCTTTCTCCTCTCTTTTCTAAAAAATATATACTTTATAGACTATTTTTGGTAGTTTTGCTGAGAGCTTCAAGATGTTACGTTTTGACGGAAACTTTTTAACGAATGGTAAGTGAATGTTATGACTGAAAATCCTTCCTTTTTTATGTATAAGTATGCACAGATATAACTAAGATTTTTTGATTACCAGCTGTTTTTTTCCACCATAATTCTTTTTCCGTTAAAGCTACAAATCGTCGTTTTTGATGCACAAGGTTAGTGAAAATTTTTCGTTTCGGTCGTCTTTGTATAAAAACTCTGTAACACACGAGGGATTAATGACACACCAATTCAGGGGAAGATGCCATTTTATAGACACTGTATCCGTACTTGACCGTCACTTGCTCATTTATAAACACTAACCCTGAGCACAAAATCGGATGATTTTCTGTACTTCTTGTGTCAGAAGTTGCAGTAAGCGATATTCCATCCAAGAATTCTAACA